CCAAACGGGTCCCACTCAAAATTCCATCCAAAGTTAGCTATATGCTGCTCAACTTTTCCAACACTTTTGGGGTTAAAATGTAAATTTTTGTACATTATGAAACTAAAAGAACAATTAAAGGAATTTCCCTTGCACCTTATCCCCCGTTAAATATATAAATAGGGACGTGATTTCCATTTTTTTTCCTCCTCTCCATAACAATTTCTTTTTTTTTTTTTTAAGCTTTTCTTTAAAAAGGGTTGACGCCCTTCAATAAAAAGGGTTGAACCCCAGTTTCTTATAAGGAGGTTGACCCCTTTCCTTTTTGGGGGTCGACCTCCTTGCTCCTTGACAAGTTGCACGGTCATAGATGAAAACTATCATAACGTTTTGTATAGAATTCGGAATTGAGATCTATAAAAGGCATTGGACTTGTGGCTCAATAAGCTTTCAAATAAAATATTATGTGCAATGGGGAGATCAATGCATCAATCATGAAAATCTAATTATTCCATGTGTTCGGCCTTTTAGTTTCCAAATATCAAACATCAACACTCTATACCTAATTGCATTCATATAGGATGATTCTTTTTTTTTTTTTTTTATGACTCAGGTGTCCAAGTTTCACCCGACTAATCTTGAGATATGGTGGCCTTTCCCTCCCGGTTCGCTACCCGGGTTAATTTGGATGCGATCACATCTTATACACACTTGGGCAGAATATTCGACGGTTCTCCTCCATGTGGATCTCTGCCTTCCAACATAAATGTCGCCTTCCAGTTACCACGGAGATTCGAACATTCGATACTCCGTAGAGAACACTCCTACTTTACCACTGCGTCATGCCCGTGAGGACTAGGATGATTCTTCATTGCTTGGACTTCAAGTGGATTATTTGTGCGAAATGTGGAGGAATGATGCCATAAATGTTGGGGTAGACAAGGACAGAGGTAAGTAATAGTTCAACTGCAATAATATAATTTATGTTGTAATGTGCCCCTATATGATTATATAAGATGTACCATTGGTGCGAAATACATGCCATATAATTTTGTTGTTGAATATCAATATACTATTGGAATATACCGGGTGTGATTCCATTAGATGATGTTGGTATATTCATATACATTTGAGTAATGTCATATGTCATCAGTACTCATGCATAATGTACGAAATATACGATGGTGAATAATCGGATATGACATCTATATGAGAAGATAACATTGAATATAATTGAATTTCCGTATTGGTGTACCATGCTATATTTCTCATTTGTATAGATAGACCACTTGAGATTCCCAAGGATAATTAAGGGTAGTCAACGATAAGGAGTTTGAAGGACCGACTTCGGTATATGGGCGATGCTGGGACGTCCCTTGGTAGCCTTGAGACGGCAAATCGATATGACGAGCAATATATACATAAGACAAATCTGAATGGTATTTATTGTAATTCCCAATGCAATATTGTGAGTTTCAATAGGCAACAACATATATAATTATGTTAATCATATAGATATTTAAGCTCATTCTATATACAGTAG